CTAGTGTTCCAGTTTGTTGCTTTTCTTGAGTGCATTATGGCTACATTATGAACTTTTTTGCTAAGGGGCTGTTTATTTTCTTCCTTTATAGACATTTTCAGTCTTCGTTTTGATTCCTGGTGGTATTTTTAGCGGCGTTAGGTTCTTTGCCTCTCCGTTAATTGATTGGTCCTGAACGAGTAGTTTTTACCAGGATGGGCGGGTGTCAAAGTAAAAAGGAGGAAGCAAAGAAGCTGAAGGCTTGTTGTGCTTGCCCGGAAACGAAGAAGGTAATGAAGTCTTTCGGATTTTTGTTTGTTTGAGGTTCAGTGATGAGGACCCGTGAGATTTCCGTGTAATGTGAAGTACGTAGGGTTTTGATGCGTAGTTACTTCTCCCAAAATTTACTAGATATCTTTGTCTTTCAGGCTCGAGACGAATGTATAACTCAGAATGGAGAGGCAAAATGCGGTTATTTGATAGAAGCTCACAAGAAATGCTTGCGTGACCACGGGTTTGAAGTAGAGTGATTGATGATTTTAGCTTCACTCTATCTTGTCTTTAGGGTTTTACTGTACACTTATTCTTCAGAGTATTTGTAGTAGTTTGATGGGATTATACACGATTGTACTGATTCGTAAGCTGTCGTGTTCCTTTAGTGCTTTACTACAACAACTGTAAATGGAAGAGTAATAAATTTGAAGAGTTCTTTATTTTTTTTAATATTTGGCCATTTAATCTGTAAATCGATTTACCTTGTAGATTGGAAGTGGGAATTTGACATTTCCGTCACAGACATCCAACGACTTCATTGGTTCCTCTTTCCTTCAGTATTTAATCATCGTTTTCGTATATAACTTTGCTTTTAGCTTTTAAGCATTTTGTTGTTGAGAAATGCGTTCCGACGTTTAGTCTTTTATTTGGTGGTGGCCAGAGATGTTTGGGCTTCAAAGTGTAGCGATTTTTAAGATGGTACTTGGAAAAGATGAGCTTTTGCAACTTCAAGTGAGGCAGAAAGAGGTGATAAAGATTGATGCAGCAATTAAACGTCAGATTGAAGAACTGCGGTTCGTTGTTTTAAATTTCAGTTCACATTTTCGTCTGCTGAGGTTTGTGGTGAGTACTGATATGTCGTTAGTAGGCTTTCGATATCGAGTTTAGGAAGGGTAGAGTGGGTAGTTACTGAATTTTTTTGCTGGAGTCTAGAGGTATAACTGGTTTATATTTTTGGAGGGTTAGGATGTTATTGCAGGATAAGACTGGAGGCATTAGCGTGCGCTATAAACGAAGTCGTATTTTGATTCTATTTTGGTTAGGATTATATGTGGGAGTGTTCATCAAATTTACTTCTTTTCTTCACATATATTTGGTAGAAGCTGCCTGTTTTCTCAAAACAGTCATTTTTACACAGGACCGAATTTAAAGATTAAGAGATTGAAGTGCTGAAAAAATACCGATGCAAATAACAGGAGAGTTAAAGAAATAGTGAATTAATTTTGGTTTTAAGCTTACAACAGGTTCATATTTAGTGATTATAACTTTAAACTATTAAATATTTCTTTCGGTGTACAGGGAAATAAGTGAAGGTTATTTAGAGCATTGGAGGAACCAACAACGAAGGAAGTTGCTGGTAGAAGTCGGGAAATAAAAAAAACGTTGGGAAAACTTGAGGGACAAATTAGTGAGCTTGAAAAGTTTTCCAGCAAAGTACGAGTTTTATTTGGTTGAGTCGTTTATAAACTTCGCATTTTTTTAATGAATTTCTAGACTCCGATTGGTTTAAGGCCGCATTTGATCATTGTTTAAGGTAGCAACACTTGGTGAGAAACAGGAGTTGTATGATCAGATAAAAGAACACCGAAATGAAGCAGAAAGGAACAAAAAAACCTTTCGTCAAACCTTGGTTTATCTGAAGAATATAATGGGTATGCATGACTCGACTGGACTTTGTAACATTCTTTAAAGAACTTGGTGATTTTAAATGATTAATGTAATTATTGTGACATTTTACAGATGAACAAGATCGGAGTTTTCTCTTCAAAAGCGGAACATCGCGCGAGGAAGAAATTGAACTTCGAAACAGGATGAAAAGGTTGGAAAATATTAAAAAAGATGCTTTCCAGGTAATGTTACCGTCTTATAACCTCTTTTTCTTATTTATTAGATATACGTTTATTATACGCATTTGAGATAAAGACGTATTACGGCATTAACTAGTTTGCTTCTTAGTTATGTTACTTGCTGTATTAAGCGCTTTACAGGCGACTGAATCGCTATCAAACTTAGTGTCCAAAATGAGTGATCAAGTGAAACTTTCGGAGGAAACCACCTCTAATCTTCTTCACTCATCATCTGTCTTAAAAGGCACTGAATCTGAGTTCGACTCGATGCGCGCCCACATAACTGTTAGAGTTGTTGCATCAAATTTTTCTTGCCATATCCTGATTCAGGATGGATGTGATCTCTGTACCTTGTTTAGATATTGAAGTGCTCAGTGAAATATTATTTTCAGAGTGGCGGAAAGTTAATATCAAAGTATGGGCGTAGAGAAAATACCGACAGGATACTTCTGGGAATTGCCCTTATAGTCTATTTTGCTGTTATTTTGTACATTTTGAGAAAGAGAGTATTTTCCATTTTGTTTTGATATTGTTTATTTGAGTAATCGGTAATTGTTGCTATCGGCGATTTTGGTTGGTTGTGACTATCATTCACCTTTTCTTTGGAAGATATGGTGGTGTGCTCTTTAACGTTTAATATCGCTTGCTATAGTAGCCTCCTTATGGGAACACCTCTAATATTCAGACCATCAAGTGGATTTACTTAGTTCTTGTGGCTTTTAATTTACACAGGCTTTACTGAACTGTTTACATCTAAACTTTTCTTACTGAGCATGAGTGCCGTGTAATAAAAGTCTATAAAACACACCTCCGCATAATAGGTAAGAAATACATACTTTCCGTTATTCCATGTACAACTTTTTTGGTACACAATTTTGCTTCCAGTTGCTGTTAAACTTAATTGGTTTTAAAAATGTAATATATTTTCTGCGTTTCCTAGATTTCGCTGGTAAAGGAAATTTTATTGGGTTATACTAAGAATTGTATGCATTTTACTATTGGTTGAAACTGTTTGGCCTTATAGCTCCTTAATTAAGAGAGGCTTCACGGACTTTGTCACCACATCTTACTATTTTTTATGGTCTTTAGTTCGTTTACGTCTTGCTTGTAAATATGGGTTGCTTACTAAAATACCACTGTTAATAAAAAAGAAAAGTCTTTGACAGTGAAAGTGATATGGTAATTGGTTATTAATTTTTGCATCCATTCATTTATTTGTTTCTTACTAAGTGACTTACGTCAAGAAACGTGTATTTTTTTGTAGTAGCCAATATTGTCGGTCAGTTTTGTATGATATGTTTTAGAAAACTACAATCACTGGCTTCTTTATAGGAAGAAGATGGCGTCAAAATTGGAGTTACGTAGTGAACTGGTTGAATTACTTAGAACGAATAAAGCAGAGGAAGCGAAGCGTTTACTTCAGAGAGATGAAAGTTTAACATTCAGTAAGGACGATGTAGGTTCTCTTGTTTATCTTAATAAACAGTTATACGTGGCATCAATGGTTGTCCAAAAACTATCTTTATTCATTTGATTTTTTATGTTTGCTTGGGATCTTTCTATTCGCAGCACGTGTTTGCTGCAGCCAGAAAGAATTTCTTTGTTATCTTTAATTTTCCATAATTTTAGAAAGATCCTATCTGAAATTTTAAGTGGAGCTAGTCCTTGAAGAACATTTTTGTTTTTGGTTATAATATTCATGTATAAAGTCATGTATATGTGATAAAATTCCTTCTTTGTGACCTGCAATTGCAAACGTTTTATTTTTTTTTTGACTGATAGGGAGAAGTAAGGATTTTTTGAAAAAAAAAAAAAAA